TTCTAGGTTTCCAGGGATGATCTCTTTACCTTTTTGGGTTGGAAAGAAAGAGTTACCCTTTACTGGACAATACTCACTTTTGTTGCTACCTAAATTATTTACTTCAGAAATTATTTCTGTCTTCTGATTTATTTTCTGCCTAAGCTTATTAACTCTTGATTCATTTTGCTGAACAGGGTATATATCAGTGATGTGTTTTTGCAAACTCAGTATATCCTGGGTCTCACAATTACATAGGTTTTCATTATCTCTGGTGAAGAGAGAAGGGATTAGAAACTCATCTGCAACTTCTAGGTTTCCAGAGATAGTTTCTTTATCCTCCTGGAAGAAAACATCACGTTCTTTTAGGCCATACACATCTTTATCATTATCCTCATGTATTTGGTTCATTTCAAAAATTACTTCTGTCCTCCGATTTATTCTCTTCCTAGGCTTATTTATTTTTGATTCATTTTGCTCAGGAGGTTGCATATCAGTGACATACTCATTCAAATCCAACCTATTCTGGGTCTCATAATCACATAAATTTCCATTATCTTTGACGGAAACATTTGCTGTTTGAAATTCATTTGTGACTTCCAGATTTTCAGAAATGGTTACTTCATCCCTTTGGTTTGGGAATAAGTTATCTTTTTCTAACTTATGAATCATAAATGTCTGTCTAGAAGCCTTCCTTTTATTACAAGTTAGGGAATTCTGACCCATATCAAATTTACTTTCCTGCTGGAATTTATCTGAACTTTGGGAGGAGTGTGCTTTTTCTGGCTTATTTATTACATATATTCTTTTCTTCTTTTTATTACACTGTGTATTTTGTCTGTCATCTTGATGAAAGTCATTACAAGGGGTTATTTTCTTCAGGATGTCAGCCTCGGTCAGTTGTTCTGTACTGAAAATAAAATCTGGATCTTCTGAATCCCTTTTGTCATCCAGGACAACAGATCTTCTTTCAAGTCCATTTTCAATCTTTTTATCTATATCTACATCACAACTATTTTCAAATTGTCTCTTCGATCTTTCTTTCCTTTTTTCAGAGCTTGAATCTTTCACTTTTCTGAAAGTTTTCATTGCACCCTCCTTTGTTTCATTGCTACTTTTATTTTTAGTGCCTGTTGAAACTGTCACAATTTTACTTACTTCACTGGCAGTTAAATCCATGTCAGCATCATACACAGTTTTCTGCAATTGAAGGTCATCATTGTCTTGAACTTGATTCCTGTACTCTGCATTACGTTCATCAACAGACTCAGAAGATAAGCCAGGAAAATGTGGTGTATTTCTTTGCATCGTAGTACTCTTTTCTTTAATACAATTGTTTATCTCATTCCAATTTAATTCTGAACTTGAAATCTGTTGTTGATCTAAATCTATCACATGAGGAGTGTCTGCAGAGAGATTATTTGACTCCTGAGATGACCCACGCTTCTTTCTTTCAGTCACATTACTAGGAGATGGTCTGTCCCATCTGTGGCCAATAGATGAGGCATCTTTCATCTCATTCATCAGAGAACTCTTGGAACTTTGGTCTGAGTGATAATGGCTCTCTATTTAAAAAAAAGAAAAACAAAATCCAGAAATAAGTAGTAAGTTATTCTAGGCAAAAGTCACATTTAATATTTGTATCTATGGAAAATATACACTGAGAATTCACTGCCTTAGGCCACAAAACAGAGTGGAGTACTAGCATACATTTCTAGAGTGGAAGGAGGCCAGCAAATGACCCTAAATAGTCAAGGTACCGCTGATAAGGATCACTATCCAAAGGATATCATCAGGCAGCTAAGGTTTATACACACACACACACACACACACACACTCTCCTGGAAAGGAAAAATAATTTGTAGTTCTAAATTCAATAAATTCAATGAAGTAGCTGGGAGCAATGGCTCAGGCCTATAATCCTAGCACTTAGGGAGCCCTAGGCTGAAAAATCATTTACGGCCAAAAATTCTAGACTAGCCAGGGCAACATAGTAAGACCTTATTTCTACAAAAAATTTAAAAACTTAGGTGGGCATGGTGGCACATGCCTGTAGTCCCAGCTACTCAAGAGGCTAAGGTAGGAGGGTCACTCATGCCCAGGAATTTGAGGTTGCAGTGAGCTATGATGACATCACTGCATTCTAGCCAGCTCAACAAAACCGGACCCTAATTCACAATAATAAAAATAAATAAATAAATAAATTCAATATAGTTATGGTTCTGTAACCCAATCTGAAAATCTATGACAAATCCATAAGCACCAGACTATCCCACAGGTAATCACATAAATAAAATGTAACTGCCATTACCCTTTCTTGATTAATCATTACCCAGGCTCAAGTTTTCACTTTAGCACTAATTGATAATACCTTTTACTATATTTATGTAGGTCCCTAATTTTCATACCCCTGAAAAGGAGAGAATGAAACTAAATAAATAAATACATGATATCTTTACAAATCATAAGATAATATACAAAAAAGAAAAAAATTCTTAAGACCTGTTCTTTTGGGGGGCAGCGCCTGTGGCTCAGTGAGTAGGGCGCTGGCCCCATATACCAAGGGTGGCAAGTTCGAACCTGGTCCTGACAAAACTGCAAAAAAAAAAAAAAAAAAAAAAATTGCCAGTCCTTGTGGTGGGCGCCTATAGTCCCAGCTACTCAGGAGGCTGAGGCAAGAGAATCACCTAAGCCCAAGAGCTGGAGGTTGCTGTGAGCTGTGACACCAGTGCACTCTACCTGGAGCAACAAAGTGACACTCTGTCTCTTAAAAAAAAAAAGACCTGCTCATTTTTAAACATGGTTTCCAAAGTGTAACAGTATTATGCCCCTGTGGATTTGACATTTGTCAGCATGTTTACTTTTAAATTAAATTTTTCACCAGCGGTTTTAAATTATAGAGGTTAGCAAATCTTTAACATAGACATCTAACTTATTAAATGTTTATCATCATTGCACTCAGGAAGAAAATCTGATGAATCTAACTAATAGTAATACTCAAGATGAAGTTTTAAATCTCACCTTTGGAACGTACATCAATAGAAGTATATTTTGAATCATTTGAACCCCACACATTTTGATTATTTTCTTTAAGAGATGACATTTCCAAATTATATTGAGTCAATAAAGGTAGTGCTGTTGATACTGAAGAGGGGCTATCAGATGATGTCCTTGATTTAATATTGTTGTCACACTGCATATTCTCTTTGTCCTCATCGTCATCACTTGAAGTTAATGGAACTCTAAAGGCAAATGGTAACAAAATGAGTAACTTTGTATTTTCAAAAATTATTTAGAAAATTATATGAATAATTCTACATTCTATTTATTTAAGATCCAACCACAAAGCCCACCCTGGCACCTTTCCAGGTTCAATAAAGCCCTCTAAAGGTAGGAAATAGGTAGTTTCTAATAGTATAGAACTTGGAAGAAAACAGGGAATGCTTCTTGGCAGCCCCCAAAGAAGATAATTATTATAATCACTGATTGTGCTATGTAGAATACTATTACTAATTATATGAATAAAGTTTCAAACATACTTACAAATAGTCATATAAAATATTTATACTTTAACTATAATTAATAATATGAAATATTCAAAACTCTTTATTTTCTATCAAGGATAAACTGTACATAAAATTATGTGTGAAATAAGTTTGCTATGTTTCCAAAGGGCCATCCAAGTACCCTAACCACATTCTTAGAATAGGTAAATCTTCAAGAGAAAAAATGACAGTAACACACAACAGTAATTTGATAAGCTGACATAGTTGAGTTCAAAGAATAAATAGTAGTAACACTAGCAGTAAATATTTTGCCTTGTACCCAAAAGAAATCACAGATATTTAAAAATAATTTATAATGAGAAAATAAAAACTGATAAATATTTTTAAAGATTTAAAGGCAAATGACCCAAAGAATAGCTGCTGGGAGGAAACTTGAAGAAATAAGTTAACAAAAATAAACAGATATTCTGTTTCCGATACTGACTACTATTACACCAACCCTATCAAACATAATGACCATAAATGCTGTATAAAATATAAAAACAAAAGTAAAGTCATGGAGAGTGGACAAAAAGGAAATAGAGATTGTAAAAGAAGGTTGACCGTTGGAAGAAGTGTGAGTTCCCCACTATTTACAGCCTCAGCCAGTGCTACATACAAAACAACTTAGAAACCCATGTTCTTAATTGGCTTGAGGTTAGAATTCAGGGCCTCAGCACATCTGCAAAGTGATGGGGGAAATATCAGATAAGAGAGGTAGAGAAGGGAGCCCCAAATTTTGTGTATAAAGCTTCTAAAATCTCTAGCTGACTTATGAATCAATATACATGAGGAAGATTCTAAGTGGCCCAGCAAAGGATAAAATAATTGAAATGAGGTTTCAGAGGTGGCTCATCACAAAATATAAGATTTTTAGCTTCAGACAAAGTTACTGTCTACTAAAATTGAAACATCAAAACTTGTTGGAGGAAGCCAAATTTTTTGCAACACAATATTCACAATGTCCATGTATAATCCAATATTATTCAATATATGAAGCAATAAGAAAATATGATTCAAACTCAAAGGAAAAGGTAATCAACAAGAAATGATCCTGATATGCAAATAGCCAAAAAGTACGTGAAAATATGCTTGACATCATTTGCCATAAGTGACATGCAAACCAAAACCACAAAGAGATTCTAATTCACACCCATTAGAATGGCTACAATCATAGATAAACCTTTGGCCAGCCTAACCAAGAAAAAAAGAGTAAAATCTCTAATCTCATCAATTAGAAATGGTAAAGATGAAATAACAACAGACCCC